CACACACAACCCCAACACACCCCAAACACACCCAAAACACACACCACAACCCCACACCCACACACACACCCACCACACACCCACACACACAACCACAAACACACACCCCCACACACACACACCACACACACACACCACACACACACCCCCACCCACCCCACACACACCACCACAACACACACCCCACACACACACACACCCCACACACACCCACCCCCACACACCACACCCACACCCCACAAAACACCACACCCCACACACCACCACACACACACACCACACACCACACCACACACCACACCCCACACAAAGGGACCACACACCACACCCACACACACAACCCCCCAAAAACACACAAAAACCACACACACACACCACAAAACAAAACCCCACACACACACACCACACACACAACCACACACACACCCCCACACACACACACCACACACCCCACACCACACACTCACACCAACCCCACCACAATACCACACACACACACCACACACACACACCCACACACACACCACAACAAAACAAAACCACCACACACACCACACACACACACCACACACACACACCACACACCACACCCCCACAACAAAACACCCCACACACACACACCACCCCACACCCCAACACCACACACCCCACCACACACCCAAAACACACACAACCACAACACACACCCCCCACACACTCACCAACCCCATAACCCCAACAAACACAACCACACCACCCCAAACCACACCAAAACCCACACACCCAACACCACACCACACCACACCCACACACACACACCACAAAAACCACACACACCACACACCCCCACCCCCACACAACCCCCCAAAAACACCAACACACAAACCCTCAACCACACCAAAAACACACAACCACACACACCCCCACCACACCCCCAAACACCCCAACCCGCACACCACCAAAACCCCCAAACCCACACACACCCCCACACACACACACCCACACACACACACACCCCACACACCCCACACACACCAACACACACACCACACACACACCACACCACACACAACACCACAAAACACACACCACAACCCACCACACACACACCCACCCCACACCACAACACAACACCCCCACACCCCCACCCCACCCAACCACACACCACACACAACCAACCCCCCCACACCCACACAAAACACCACACAACCAAAAAACCACACACACACCCCCACAAAACCCCACACCACCACACACACCACACACAACCACACACAAAACCCCACACCCCACCCCACACCCCCACACACACACACTCACACACACACCAACACCCCACACCCCACACCCACAACACCACACAACCCCCCCAAAACACAACCCCACACAAAAAAACCAAAAACACACACCACACACACAAACCCCCCCCCAAAACACACCAAAACACCACACACCACCCACACACACACCACACACACACACCCCCAACCACCACACACCACACCACACACACACACCACACACACACACCAACACACACCCAGCCACACACCCCACAACCCCCACACCCCCCACCCACACACACACCACAACCCAAAACACACAACCCCACACCCACACACCCCCACCCCACACACACACCCAAAACACACACCCACACACCCCACCCCACACACACACACCACACACCCCCACAACCACACACACACCCACCCCCACCACACAACCACACCCCACAACACCACACCACACACCACAACACACACACCACAACCCCACACACCACCCCCACACACACCACACACACCCCACCCACACACACACCCCCCACCCACACCACACACACCCCACAACCCCAAACACACCACACACACCCCACCCACACCCCACAAAAACCACAAAACACCCAAAACACCACCCCACAAAACCCCACACACCCACCACCCCACACAACCACACACACACGAAAAAACCACACACACACCACACACACACCCCCCACCCCCCCACACAACACCACACACACACACCACACACACACCCCCACACAAACCCCCACTGCCACAACACACACCCCACACACGACAAAACCCACACCACACCCACACAACACCACACACACACCACACACCCCCACCCCACACACACACACCACACACACCCACACACACACCACACACACACCCCACCCACACACCCCAACCCCCACACACCACACACACACCACACCCCCCCACACCCACACCACACACACACCACACACACCCCCCACCCACCCCACACACACACCACCCACACACCCCACACCAACACACACACACACACACCACCCCCCAAAACCCCACAAAAAACACCCCCCCACACAACCCCCACCAAAAACCCCCCAAAATGCACACACACACCCCCCACACACAAAACCAAACCCCACAAAACAACCCCCACACACACCCACACACACTCACACCAACACCCCACACACACAACCCCACCCACAAACCCCAAAACACCCACCACACACAAAACCCACACACACACACCCCCCACACACACCCCAACCACACACCCCACAAAACCCCACACCCCACCCCAAACCCCACACACAAACCCCAACCCCACCACAAAAACACACACCCACACCACACACCCCAACACACACACCCCCACCACCACAAAGCCACACACACACAACACACACACAACCCCCACACCCCCAACACACACACCCCACCACACCCCACACACACCCCAAAACCCCACCCCCCACACCCCACACAACAACACACACCCACACACCCCACACCCCACCACCCAAACACAAACAAAACCCCCCCCAAACCCCACACCAAAAACCCACCCAAAAACCCACACCCAAACACCTCACAACCAAAAAAACCCCAAAAACACCCCAAAACCCCAAACACCAAAACCCAAAAACCCACCACACCCCACACACCAAACCCCCACCAAACCCCCACCACCCCAAACCCCAAAAAAACCCCCCAAACACCCCAGCCCCAAACACACACCACACCCCAACACCACACACACCAAAACCCCCACAACCAAAAACCCACACCAAACACACACCAAAATCCCCCAAAACCCCACCCCCAAAAACCCCACAAAACACCACAAAAACCAAACCCCCAAACCCCCACAAACACCCCCAAAAACACACAAACCAAACACCCCACACACACCAAACACACCAAAACACCAAAAACCACAACCAAAACACCAAACCCACACCAAAAACCACACCAAAACCCCAAACACCACCCAAACACCCACAACCAAAAAAAACCCCAAAACCCCAAAAACCCCACCCCACCCCCCAAACCTCACCCCCCAAAAATCAACACCAAACCCCTCACACCAAACACCACAAAACCCCACCCAAAAACCCCCCCCAAACACCACAAACCAAAAACCCCCCCCCCCCACCCAAAACACCAAACAAAAACCAAAACCCCAAACCAAACTTCCCCAACCCAAAATCTCCACCAAACCCCCACCAAAAACCAAAAACACCCTTTAAAACCCAAAAACCCCAACACACCAAAACACCCACACCCCCAAAACACACCCCAAAACACACCAAACCCACACACCAAACACCACACCCCCACTAACACCAAAATCACACCAACATAAACTTTTTCAACAAACCTTTTAAAAAAAAACCCCAACCCAAACCGGGAAAAAACCAAAACCCCCCCAACCACCAAACCACCCCAAACCAAAAATAACCCAAAATAACCAGGAAATCACAAAAAAAACAACCACAAACACTTACCCCCTACACCACAAAACCCAAATTTAGGGGGGGTTTTTAAAAAAAAAAAAAAACAAAAACACCACCCAAACCTTTAAAAAAAACACCCCCCCTTAAAACCCAAAAATTTTTCCCAAAAACCAACCCCAAAAAAAAAACCAAAACCCCCACAAAAAACAAAAAAACACCCAAACACTTAAAAACCATTCCCCATTTTAAACAAAAAGGGGGATTAAATTTTGCGGAAAAAACCCCCCCCCCCCTTTTTTTTTTTGCCCCCCCCCCCCCCCCCCCCACCCCCCCCCCCCCCCTTTGAAAAAACCTAAACACCAAAACCCCGAAAAATTAAGGGGGAAATTAGGTTTCATCCAGTCAAAAATTCCCTGGTGTTATTACACAAAACTTTTGCTTCTAAGAAAAAAAAAACCCCTTTAAAAAATTTTTCAAAAGTTCCTTCTTGGGAAAAAGGGTATTTTTTAATTTATTCTTGAAAAACCTTTTATTTTTTTGTTTGTTTTTTCATTCAATTTGCCAAATCTTTTTAGAAAAAAATATTTTAAACAATTCCTTTTTTAAAATCCAAAATTAAAAATACCCCCAAAAACCAAAAAGGTTTTTTTTCCCTTAATCCTTTTTTTTTTGGTTTCCTAAACCATTCAATTTTTCTTTTTCCACCCCCCCTTTAAAAAAAAAATAAATTTTTTTTGGAGTTCCACTTAATTTTTTTGGGGGGGGGAAAGGCCGGCCCCCTCCCAAAACCATGTTTAAAAAAAATTTAAATCTTTCAAACTTCCTTTGAAAACAATTAACTTAGGAAGTGCTACATAAATAAGACAAGCAGTACAATTCTATCTTATCCTTTTTTGGTTTCCTAGGCAGCCATGTGCAATTTCTGATCTCAGGCAGGACTATGTTAATAGAATAACTTATAAATTGGTTACAGTGGCCACTCAATGTGGCTTAGAAACGAGACGATCCCTCTCCTATAAGGACCTTTATAGTTTACCTTAGATTATATCTTGCATGACTTTCTTTGTAATGTTAATATAAAATCTGCGAGGTTGTGGTTTTTTAGTGCCTGTGCTAGCAAAAATGCAAATAGAAGTTATGCTTGCATATTCACATTAAGGAATATTCTGCTTTTTATGTACAGCATTTAAATCTTGATGAAGTTTATGTTGCTATATATTTATTATGAACATTGTGGAAAAAAGCTTAATGCTTTTTTTTTTTCTTTGCTGATCAGACATGTGGTGTAGATGAAGACGTAATCACTGAAATTGCAGTACATCAGGGCAAATCTAGAGTTGCAGTGCGACAGGCAGTTTGCCGATGGACCTATGATTACCTCACAGCAACATACTTCCTGCTACTGGCACAGAAAATGAAGGGAAAACCCCTGAAACTAATCTCAAAAGTAACAACTCTTGGAGAAATAGCGGTATGTTGTGTTTATCAATTCTTGTATAATTTCCTTTATCTTGTATAATAGTTATTTTGTCTAGTTGCATATGGTGCCAAATTCTAGTTGGTGTAGTACATATCCTCATTATTAATATTCAACTCTCGCTGTTATTTATGTCAGAAATGGTGCAAAAACCACCGCCTCTAAAAATACAAACAGGTTGTATTTTTAGATCCTTAAGTAGCTTTCTGTGTTTTTTGTAAATGATTATCCATAAATCCATATCATTACCCTTTATATCTTGTTTCCACCCCTCCCCCTTCCTCCAAAAAAAAAAAATAACTTTTTCTTTAGGTAGCCTTCTCATCTTAATTTTGTTTTTTTTGTTTCAACATGCTGGTCATCTCCCACCAAGGCAGGGTGATCATTAAAAAAAAAAATTTCACCATCATTCAAACTATCACTGTCTTGCCAGAGACACACAGATACGACAGCTCAGTTCAGTTTCTGTCTTAGTATCTCCAGATTTTTTTTTTTTTTTTTTTTTTTGAACATGTCGGCCATTTCCCACCAAGGCAGGGTGATCCAAAAAGAAAAAAAAAGAAAAACTTTCATCATCATTCAGCCCTTTCACCATCACTCGCACAAAATCACTGTCTCTGCAGAGGCGCTCAGATACGACATTACATATCACTCCAAACTGCCAATATCCCAAACCCCTCCTTTAACTTTTTGACTGTTGCAAGCCCCTTTCTGAAACTCATTCTATGTCGCAAAATTTTTGGAAAAAAAAAAAAATTTTTTTCTTATGAAATGATAAGAGAATCTTTTCCTGATGGTAATGACACCAAAAGTACAAAATTTGGTTGAAAACTCACGGAATTACGCTCCCGCGAAGTTGGCAGTCTCAGCGACATACGCATCGGCGATTTCGCCGACTTTGAGCCCTGTTTTTGGCCAATTCCGTTGTTCCAGTTGAGCAAACTCATAGCTATTTCTTTAGAACTCCATTTTTCTATCAGTTGAGTACAAGAAACCGCCCATTTACCGATTTGAAGTACCCAATAAAGTGGTCAGAAATTGGCAATTTGGCTAATTTTACGCAAATTAAAAAAGATGCCAATTTCAAAATATGGTCCAGAATAAACAATGTTGACATTCTTAGCATTAAAATAACATCTCCTCTGTTCATTAGTCATGTCTCTAGGCCCTACTTATATTACTATTGCTTTCTATTTTGATTTTTTATTCATACAAAAAATACAAAATTTACTGTTATTAGACTCCCCAGTTGATGTGTATTGGCCGTGTGGTGTGATTTGCTTACTCCTGAACATTGGTAAAAATCGAACATTTCCACTACTTTTAGCTCAGTTTCAAGGTCGTTTTCATCGTGAAACTAATCAAAATCATCTCTATTTCTGTAATATATTTTCCATTTTATCACGCGAGACCATGAAAACGAGAATACAACAATAAATACTGTACGAAAATACGCCTCAAAGTCGGTGTTTTAATCCAAAAAGTCTTTTTTTTTTTTTCTCATTATGTACTGTGTGCTGCAGGATTTTTTTTGTGGTGCACACTGACCCCATAGACCCATTCTCTCACATGTGGGCCTACCAGCTTTCTCCTGCTTGATTTGAAGCCGCTAGAATTTACTCGTATAAATACATCCGAAACAGTGGCGTAAGACGTGTATATATACGACCAAAACAGTCAAAGGGTTAAAGTGCAGGCATTGTACTTCCCATTTCCAGGACTCAAGTCCAGCTAGCCAGTTTCTCTGAATCCCTTCACAAAATATCACCCTGCTCACACTCCAACAGCTCATCAGGTCCCAAAAGCCATTTGTCTCCATTCACTCCTATCTAACACACTCATGCTTTCTGGAAGTCTAAGCCCCTCACCCACAAAACCTTTACCTCCTTCCCTCCAACCTTTTAGGGGAGGACCCCTATCCTGCCTTCCTTCCCCTACAGATTTATACACTCTCCAAGTCATTCTGCTTGTTCCATTCACTAAATGACCAAACTACCTTATTATTGTAATAATTGTATAAATTATATCAGCGCATTAGACCCACCAGCTGACATGTATTGGACATGTGACGTGATTTGTTCACTCTTGAACATCGGCTCAAATCGAACATTTCCACTATTTTGAGCTCAGTTTCATGTTATTTTCAATAATCAAATCAATCAAAATCATCTTAGAGAAATCTGTAATATATCTTCCATTCTATCAAATGAGACCAAGAAACTGCAAATACAGCCATAAAAAACATACAAAAATACACCGCAAAGTCGCTGTTTTAATCCAAAAACATGGTCGCAGTTTTTTTCTCATTATGCACTGCGTGCTGCAGGATTTGTTTTATATGGTGCACACTTACCACATAGTTGCATTCTCTCATATCTTGGCCCAGATTTACTGCTCACAGCTTATCTGAGTGAGCTGAGCTCATGATGTCTTACTCCGACTTGAACCCAGGATTCGAAGCCATAGAACTATGGGACAGACCCTCAAAGGGTTCAAGATGGTTGGGGTGCCATATATCCAGCCATGTCCTTGAAAAGTGGAACTTCACTTGCATCAAGCCTGTATTATCTTTGTGACCAGACCTCTATTGATACCAATGATGCTCTGACATTACTCAACTAAAATTGCTTGAAGAAAAAAATTATTTTAAAAATACGTGTTTTAATTAAGAAGACTGGATATTTATACTAAAGTATATTTTGGCTCTCAGGCTTTGCCATTGAATGGAAGAGCTGCAGTTATATCCCTGCCTTTACCCATTTAGAAATATCTGTTGTATCCCTTTGAAAGGCTATCAAAAATTTGAGTGCTTCATCAACATCAGTCATGTCAAGTAACATGGTTAAAGAAAAAAAAAAGATGTTGATCAGTGGATGCAACAAGGAGGCTGGAGGGAGTAGGAATGTCAGATTAATGTGTGTTGTCAACTTTGTATTTATCTAGAAGGGAAGAATTTAGGTATTAAAAAGTGAATTACTGATATAGGTGTACAGTAATTCTGAGATGATTGAGAGGGTGTATTTATCTAGAGTGGACAGGAGGTGGAGGTATGATAGCATTTTCCAGTGTGACCATTAGAACTATTTCTGTATCAGAAAACAGTTGGTGTATTTAAAAATGGTTTGCATGTCAGATTTATTAAATTACATTAGTTTGTTGACTTGTACTTCTGAAAGTTGTTAAACTATGAGGATTGATATTTTGGCTGAAATAATTTTTAAGTTCTTCAAGTGTTCTATTTCTCCAGGTTTATTCTTATTCTAACCTTTGCCTGAAGTATCCAAAAAGATCATTACTTAGGGTTACTAATTTGGCGAGAATGTCCCTGATGTTAATAACTATGATTGATTTTAATGTGGCTCCTTAGATGGTAGGCCAGTTTTCAGGCAAATCATTCTTCCATGAATGTGACGTGACTGGTTAGCTATGTTCATACTAGCTTCTGTAAGGTCAGAGAGTACATTTTGTACTAATGTGGAGGTAAAAAAAAATCTTTGCATTTTCCCATTTCTCTAGATTGCAGGACCATCTTTATCTTCACTTGCCACTGAAATTTTGTTTAAATGAACAACCTTGTTTTGTTGCATATAAAATTTAACTAAAAGAAGTAGTTTTGTATTTTTTCTGTTCATGAACATGAGTCCTGGAAATGGGAAGTACAATGCCTACACTTTGAAGGAGGGGTTTGGGATATTGGCAGTTTGGAGGAACATCTAAATTGAAGTATCTGAGCTCCACTGCAAAGACAGTGAGTATGTATGAGTGATGGTGAAAGTGTTGAATAATGATGAAAGTTTTTTCTTTATGGGTTTTTCTTTATTTTTGAGTCACCCTGCCTCAGTGGGAAATGGCCGATGTATTAAAAAAAAGAAAAAGTGCTTAAAAAGTTATTTTAAAAGAAAGTTCTCGCTAAACTTCATTTCGTGATTTTTTTACAGTCTCATAAGGCACCAGCTCGATGTCTTATAGAACAATTAAACTATGACAAAGACAAAAACTCTTCGAATCACATAGGCCCTGTATCCAACACAATAGGCAGCTCGCCACGAGGAATGCACACATCACTTGAGGGGGGACTCAATGATGTCGATCTTCTCTCCATAGGTGAAGTTACTCTTATTGTTACATTAGTTGAAAACATAGTAAGAATTTTACATTGTGCAATTTAATATTTATTATACAAACTGCACATTCTTTAATTAATACAAGTTTTGTTAAATGTATGTATGTATTTAAACATTTGCATTTGTAATTTTTTATACAGGTCAGAATTCTCCACTAAAGGAATGTAGCACAGAATTTGAACTCACACCACTAACATCACCAAAGAAACGTCGCCCATCAGTTAATGATGAGGAAAAGGAAAATTTTGCTCAGCCACGAATACCAACACCAGGGCACAAGTCTCGCAAGAAAGCTACACCATCTACACCAGGTAAGATTTTTGCTAGACCTTGTTCAGTCCTTGCACTTTTTATATATATGTATGGATGTGTATATATCCTAGGTAGTAGGTTGGTAGACAGCAACCGCCCAGGGAGGTACTACCGTCCTGCCAAGTGAGTGTAAAATGGAAACCTGTAATTGTTTTACATGATGGTAGGATTGCTGGTGTCCATTTTTCTGTCTTGTAAACATGCAAGGTTTCAGGTATGTCTTGCTACTTCTATTTACACTTAGGTCACACTACACATACATGTACAAGCATATATGTATATACACACCTCTCAGGGTTTTCTTCCATTTTTCTTACTAGTTCTTGTTCTTGTTTATTTCCTCTTACCTTCATGGGGAAGTGGAACAGAATTCTTCCTCCGTAAGCCATGCGTGTTGTAAGAGGCAACTAAAATGCCGGGAGCAAGGGGCTAGTAACCTCTTCTCCTGTATATATTACTAAATGTAAAAGGAGAAACTTTCGTTTTTCCTTTTGGGCCACCCCGCCTCGGTGGGATACGGCCGGTGTGTTGAAAGAAAGAAGAAGGATTGCTGGTGTCCATTTTTCTGTCTTGTAAACATGCAAGGTTTCAGGTATGTCTTGCTACTTCTATTTACACTTAGGTCACACTACACATACATGTACAAGCATATATGTATATACACACCTCTCAGGGTTTTCTTCCATTTTTCTTACTAGTTCTTGTTCTTGTTTATTTCCTCTTACCTTCATGGGGAAGTGGAACAGAATTTTTCCTCCGTAAGCCATGCGTGTTGTAAGAGGCATCTAAAATGCCGGGAGCAAGGGGCTAGTAACCTCTTCTCCTGTATACACAATATGTCCCTCCAAACTGCCAATATCTCAAACCCCTCCTTTAGAGTGCAGGTATTGTACTTCCCATTTCCAGGACTCAAGTCCGGTTATATAAAATAACCGGTTTCCCTGAATCCCTTCATTAAATGTTACCCTGCTCACACTCCAACAGCTCGTCAGGTCCCAAATATCATTTGTCTCCATTCACTCCTATCTAACGCGCTCACGCACGCTTGCTGGAAGTCGAAACCCCTCGCCCTCAACACCACCTTTACCCCCTCCCTCCAACCTTTTCGAGGACGATCCCTACCCCGCCTTCCTTCCCCTACAGATTTATACGCTCTCCATATCATTCTACTTGGATCCATTCTCTCTAAATGACCAAACCACCTCAACAAACCCTCTTCAGCCCTCTGACTAATACTTTTATTAACTCCACACCTTCTCCTAATTTCCACACTTCGAATTTTCTGCATATTTACACCACACATTGCCCTTAGACAGGACATCTCCACTGCCTCCAACCGCCTCCTCGCTGCAGCATTTACAACCCAAGCTTCACACCCGTATAAGTGTGTTGGTACTACTATACTTTCATACATTCCCTCCTTTGCCTCCATAGATAACATTTTTTGCCTCCACATATACCTCAATGCACCACTCACCTTTTTTCCTTCGTCAATCCTATGATTAACCTCGTCCTTCATAAATCCATCCGCCGACACGTCAACTCCCAAGTATCTGAAAACATTCACTTCTTCCATACTCCTCCTCCCCAATTTGATATCCAATTTTTCTTTATCTAAATAATTTGATACTCTCATCACCTTACTCTTTTCTATGTTCACTTTCAACTTTCTACCTTTACACACACTCCCAAATTCGTCCACTAACCTTTGCAATTTTTCTCTAGAATCTCCCATAAGCACAGTATCATCAGCAAAAAGTAACTGTGTTACTTCCCATTTTATATTTAATTACCCAAAATTTAATCCCACCCCTCTCCCGAACACCCTAGCATTTACTTCTTTTACAACCACATGTATAAATATATTAAACAACCATGGTGACATTACACATCCCTGTCTAAGACCTACTTTTACTGGGAAATAGTCTCCCTCTCTTCTACACACCCTAACCTGAGCCTCACTATCCTCATAAAAACTCTTTACAGCATTTAGTAACTTACCACCTATTCCAGTATACAGTGGACCCCAGGTTTGCGATATTAATCCGTACCTGAGAGCTCATCGTAAACCAAAATTATCGGAAAGCAAATCAATTTTTCCCATAAGAAATAATGGAAATCAAATTAATCTGTGCAAGTCACCCAAAAGTATGAAAAAAAAGAACTTTTACCACATGAAATATTAAGTTTAATGCACACAAACAGAAGAAGACATGCACAGTTTGTATTATGTACTCTACTAACAATAGAATACATGACACTTACCTTTAATGAAGATCTGGTGATGAATGATGGGATGGGAGGAGGGGAGAGTGTCCAACCTATTGCTTAGAAGGGGAATCCCCTTCCAGTAGGACTTGAGGTAGCAAGTCTTTTTCCAGGGTTACTTCCCTTCTTTTAATGCCACTAGGCCCAGCTTGAGAGTCACTGGACTTCTGTCGCACAACATATCTGTCCATAGAGTCCTGTACCTCTCGTTCCTGTGTGACTTTCCTAAAGTGGTTCACAACAGTGTCATTGTACAGGTTGCCAACACGGCTTGCAGTAGCTGTGAGGGTAATTTTCGTCAAAAAACCTTTGTACTTCAAGCCACTTTGCACACATTTCCTTAATCTTTGAAGTAGGCAACTTCTTCAATTTCTCCATCCCCTTCTCCGAAGCAGTTTCCTCAGGTCTGGCCTCTTGCTGTTGAAGATGATCTAGCAGCTCATCAGTGGTTAGTTTGTCATTGTCCTCCTCCACCAACTAACCTCCAACCCCAAGGACTTCCCCAATGCCACAATGCATTCCTCAACTGGCATAGGATTCCCAGGGTTAGCCTCAAACCCTTCGAAATCCTTTGTCTACAACCATTTGGCCACAGTTTTTTTTCAGGCAAGTTCAAGGTTCTCTTCGAGTCACTCTCCTCCAAGGCCTTACTATGAGGTTACACCAATTGAGATATTAAAGTGATCCTTCCAAAACTCCTTTAGAGTCAATAGAGTGTCTGTGGTCACTTCTTAGCACCTTTCAAACATAGCTTTTGTGTACAGTTTCTTGAAGTTGGAAATGACCTGCAGGAGAGGAGTGGTATTAGGAGGCAAAAACTTGACCTTAATGAAGCTCATGTCCCCAGAAAGTCGGAATGTCTGTATTGTTTATTCTGGACCCTATTTTGAAATTGGCATGTTTCGAAACTTGTGTGAAAATGGCAAATTGCCAATTTCTGACCACTTTATTGGGTAGTTGAAATCGGTAAATGGGCGGTTTCTTGTACTCAGTCGATAGAACAAATGTAGTTCTAGCGAAATAGCTATGAGTTTGGTCAACTGGAAAAATGGAATTGGCCGAAAATAGGGCTCAAAGTGGGCAAAATCGCCTATGTGTGTATATCTCTAAGACCGGTAACTTTGCAAGAGCATAATTCTGTAAGTTTTCCATCAAATTTTGTACTTTTGGTGTCTTTACCATTGGGAAAAGATTCTCATTCATCTAATAAGATTATTTTTTTTTTTTAATTATTCGACACTGAGCAAGTTTGTGAGCAGGGGTCTCGGCAGTGGAAGGGTTAAAGTGCAGGCATTGTACAGTAGGGCTCTGCTTTTCAGTGTTTCGCCTTACGGAGTTCTGCTAATACAGCAATCTCAAATTATGACCAAACTTTCTATACAGCAAGTGATCTTTCAAATACGGTACGGGCCGCCCGGTTTGTTTACATTCTCCATGAGCATATATCTCTATTATGTAATAATAATCACTCTTGGGCACATTAAATGTCTAATTTTACGTCAATATAGACATTTTCGTTAATCCATCCATGATATTTTCTTCAAAATTATATAAGAAACACATTACATAGTATATAAACATTTTGTTTATGTACTATGGAGGTGTAGCCGGGCGAAGGGAAAACATTACGTCACTCCCCTTAATACATAACGCTTTTGTTTACAATTCTCAGATTGAATTATTTATTACTTCTCCCTTTGTTTATGATGGCACCTAAAGGTAGTTGTTATAAACGATTAAACTCAGTGAACATGGTATGTCGGTGGTAATAATATGGCTCTGGGGCACGTTAAATATCTTGTAGCTATGTAGCCCAGGCGGACTACGTACCTACATTATTATTATAACTGATACGTATGTGTACCTGTACCTAAGTAAACTTACACACTGTGCTGGCATGAAGGTACACATTAAAATCATTAAGAGTGTCTTATTAGTCTTGAAGATGCCATATTAATAATAATAATAATAATAATAATAATAATAAAACAATAATAATCACTGAGGAGCATTAAATGTCGTATAAAACGTTAATATAGACATTTTGCTTAATCCATCTAAATACACCCCACAGTAGAATAAAACAACATAAATATGAGCTGTGGTAGCCAGGCAACTTGTAGGACTTGTGGTAGCTAGGCAACTTGTAGGACTTGTAGCCAGGCAACTTGTAGGACTTGTGGTAGCTAGGCAACTTGTGGTAGTCAGGCAACTTGTAAGACTTGTGACGAAAACTAGACGTGTTCATCTGGTTTGTTTACATTATGTGTGGATGGGGTTGGGAGGGCTGCCCTTCCTGGCTACCCAAACTTTACTTCATACAAATAAAACTCACCTCTCACCCTACATTAAGACTATAAATATTTTAAGGTAATTAATGAGTATAATATATGTGCATTTTATCGCTCTGGGGTGCTTAATGTCGTAGTAGGTACAAGTGGCCAGGCAGGATGCCATACCTCCAACACGACTTTCTACTAATAAATACTTTTTACTTCTCCCCCACATTAAGACCATTAAGACTACAAATATTTTAAGGTAAGTAATGTGTGTACTGTATATGCATTTTATCACTCTAGGGAGCTTTAAGCATCATAGTATAGCATGTGTAGGTGGGGTGGCCAGGAGGGCTACCACACCTGACTTCTTAGAGTAAATACTACTCACCTTTTGCCCTACATTAAGACTACAAATATTTTGAGGTAAATAATGAGTGTACTGTGTGTGTATT